TTTTTAACATTCCCCTTGATATTCCAGATCTTTTATTTTTCCATTGAATTTTATTATCATTTTATCAAGTTATTATGAAGTATCCATTTGATAATTTGATAGATATAACATTAAAAGTATAAATTAATTTTGGTCATATTGTCAGTTTATTACATTAGCATGGTCTAGCCATGAGCACTGAATTTTCCTCCAGTTATTCAAGTTCTTTATTTCTTTAAGGAATACTTTGTAACTGAATTTATACAGATAATTTATGTGCTTTTGTAGACTGATCCTTAGATACTTTATGCATTATATAGTCATTTGGAATGGTATTTCTTTTTCTATTATTTCCTCTTGGATTTTGTTATTATTTTATAGAAATGCAATTGATCATTGGAGGTTTATTTCATAACCTGAAATTTTGCTGAAGCAATTTGTTTCAATTGGTATCTGCTGAATCTCTAGGATTTTCAAACTATATCATCAACAAATAAGGAGAGAGGGCCTAGGAGTGGTTGTTATATCTTGCTTATCTTAAAATAAGAATAGTAAAAAAAAAAAGAGGAAGAGGAATTCATTGGGGATGAGGGGGATGGATGGAGTGGGGAAGGGAAGGGAGAAGAAGGATGGGAAAAATTATTTTACATAATTGAGGTGATAGTTATTATTATGATGGTTTTAACACATTGATCTAAATCTAATTTATGATAAGTCTTATTTCCAAATTATATAAATAACTGGTCCATATTTTTAAGAATAAGAATAATTTCTAAATTGAAAAATGGTCAAAGGATATGAACATGTAGCTTTCAAGAAAAGAAAAACAAGCTATCAATAACTATATGGAGAAATTGCTACTAATCACTAATCGTTCACACTCATCAGGTTGGCAAGGTTGATAAACAAGGAAAATGACAGATTTTGGAAGGGACTGTGGGAAAACAGGCATATTAATGCATAGTTGCGTGATGGAGCTGTGATCCACGAAAGCAATTTAGAACTAAGCCTCCAAAGTCACTCACCTGTGTATAGTCATTGACCAAGCACTACCCCTGTGAGGTCCGTGACTCAAAGAGAACAAAGAAAGAGCAAAAGGACCCATGTGTACAAAAATATAGATTTTTTTGTGCTGGCAAAGAACTGGAAATTAAGAGGGTGCTCATAAATTTGGGAATTGCTGAATAAGTTAGGATATATAAATATTATAGAATACTATTGTGCTATGAAAAGTGAAGAAGGGAATGGTTTCAGAGAAACCTGGGAGGACTCAGTATGAAATGAGTAGAACTAGGAAAACAATTTTATGATTGTAAAAATATTATAAAGAAAAACTAATTTTAAAGATTTAAGAACTCATATCCATGCAATGTCCAACCACAATTTCACAGGATCAATAGTGAAGTATATTACCCATCTCCTAACAGAAAACTGATAGAGTAAATATGCAGAATGACACATACATTCTTGGATATGGCCAATGTAGGAATTTGTGTTGGTTGATTATGCTTATTTGTTAGAAACATTTTAGTTTTCTTTTTTTTTCCTTACCCATGGGGGAAGGGCAGTAAGAGGGAGAGAAAATAGATTTTTGTCCAATAAAATACAGCAAAATTGGGATAACAATATTGTTTTCCACTTTTATCAGAAGTTTTTGTCAAATAGGGTATTATTTCCTAGGTAATATATAGTTTGGACTTTATCAAACTTTGGATTATTTAGTTCCATCTCTGATTCTTCTTTATCTGATTCTTCTTTATCAAGTGTTTGTTCAAGTGTTTGGTCTGTTCCATTGATCAACTTTTCTGTTTTTTAACCACTACCAAATGGTTTATATGATTATTGATTTCTTGTTTAGTTTAAGACTTTGAAAAGCTATCCCACTTCATTTCTAATTTTTTTCATTATCTCCCTTGATGTCTTAGATTTGTGATTCCTCAAAATAATTTTATTATTTTGGCTAGCTCCATAATGAATCCTTTTGGCAGTTTGATTGGCATAGTACTTTACAAATTAACTTCATTTTTATTTTATTGGCAGAACACAGCCATAAACATTGGATGGTTCTTCAGAAATTTGTTATTCTTTACTTCTTTAAGAAGTGTTTTAGAGTTATATTTATCCAGATATTGAGTGTATTTTGCTATATTTAGTCACAGATATTTTTATGGATTTAGTGGTTATTTTGCATTGTACTTCCTTTTCTGTTACTCTCTCCTGATTTTTTTTATAATGATTGAGAAATTCTGTTGATTTTTGTGGGTTTGTACAACTTTATTGAAGTTATTAACTTTCTCAACTAGTTTCTTTCCTGCTTTAAATTATTCTAATTAAAGAATTTGCTGTCATCAGCAAATGGAAATAATCTTATTTTTTCTTTGCCTATCATAGTGTCATATGAGCTAGACAGGGGTGGGGAACCTGTGGCCTGGAGGCCACCTGTGGCCTTCTGGGTCTTTGAATGCGGCCTTTTGACTGAGTCCAAGTTTTACAGAAAATATTCTGTTATTAAGGGGATTTGCTCTGTGAAGTTTGGATTCTGTCAAAGGCTGGCACTTGAGGACATGGGGGGGGGGTCGTCACACGTGGCCTCGAGCCTGCAGGTTCCCCACCCCTGCAAGAGCTACAGGGACCTTAAATACCATTGAGTCCAACCTTTTTGTTTTATAGGCGATAAAACTGAGGTATAGTGAAATTAAGTGTCTTGCTTAGGGTTACATATGTCTGAGGAAGAATTTAAAATGAGGACTTCTGAACTTTGTCTAGCATCCTGTCTGCTATAGCATATTGCTTCTCATTCTTTATTTCTTTAATTTCTCTTTCTTATCTTATTGCCTATTGCTGACATTTTTATAACTATGTCAAATAATGGGGAAGCAGGGAAAGGAGATAGCCTTGATTTACACCTCTATTTATTTGGAAAGTTTCTGTTGTCTCCCCATTGTGTGTAATGCTAGCTTTTGGTTTTAGGTAAATACTTTTTTAAATATTAAATTTTTTAAAAGTTCCCTCTATGTGTATACTTTTTAGATTTTTTTTTTTTGCAAAAATAACCACTGTACTTTTTCAAAGACTTTTTGTGTATTTATCAATACCATCATGTGGTGGGTTTTTTTGTTTGTTTTTTGCTTTTAGGCAATTGGGATTAAATGACTTGCCCAGGGTCACACAGCTAGTAAGTGTCAAGTGTTTGGTCAAGTGTTTTGTCTGAGGTCATATTTGAACTCAGGTCCTCCTGACTTCAGGGCCAGTGCACTATCCACTGAGCCACCTAGCTGCCCCCATCATGTGGTTTTAAATGCTTTTATTTTTATTATGATTAATTATGTTAATTATTTTCCTAATTGTGAACTATCCTTACAATCTCGATCATAATGAATTGCAAAAAAGACAACAACATCTAGACACACCAATAGCAGGACACTTTGTTTCTTTCTTAGCGCTAGACAAATCCAACAGAAAAATAAACAAAAGGAAAAATACTGACCTGAATAAATTCTTTGGAGATTTAGAGCGTGAAGATTAATGGCATCTTCTAAATGTGACCACTAAAGAATATACATACTTAGCAATACATGGCACTGTGAGAATATATGTGTGTCTGTGTTCATATACACACACCATGTATTCAAGCACAGAGAAATTGTAAATAAATGTTAAAAAGTATGAGTGTTAAATCACATCTTTTATAGACCATAATGCAAAAAAATAATAATCAGTACAGGGAACACAATCAGAAGAAACAGAACTAAATGGATATTTAATAATGAATCAAGTCAAAAGGCATTTATTAAGCACCTACTATGTGCCAGGCACTTTGCTAAGTGCTAAAGATACAAAGGAAAACAAAAGATAAAAATTGTCTTTGCTCTCAAGGAGTTCACAGTCTAATGAGAGAGACAACATAGAAACAACTGTGTACCAATAGGATAGAGACACAATAAATTGGAGCTAATCTTAGAGGGATGGTGCTTAGATTAAAGGACTATGAAAGGCTTTTTGCAGATAGTGGGACTTCAACTGAGACTTGAAGGAAGCCAAAGAATCCAGAAAGTTAAGATGAGGATGAAGAGTCTCATGCATGGGGAACATCCAGAGAAAATGCTAGGAGTTGGGAGTTGAAGAGTAGCGTATACAGATTAGCAAGGAGGCTAGTGTAAAGGGGAATAAGGTGGAAGAACACTGGAAAGGAAGGAAGAGGCCACTCTGTGAAGGTCTTTAAAAGTCAAACAGAGGACTTTATATTTGATCTTGCGGATCCTATTGAATGGGGATGGGTTATGTGTGTGAATGAAATCTTTAAGACTGAGTGGGTCAAAGAACAACCTTAGAAATAATTGTAATGATGAGACAACATGCCAGAATGTCTGGGCTGCTGCTAAAGTAGTCCTTAGAAGAAAAACTGTGTCCCTAAAATAATGCATTAGCAAAATAGAAAAGGAAAATATTACTGACCTCAGTATTAAATTTTGGGGGCAACTAGGTGGTGCAGTAAATAGAGGGCTGGGCCTGGAGTCAGGAATACTCATCTTCCTGGGTTAAAATCTGTCCTCAGACACTTACTAGCTGTGTGACCTTGGACAAGTCGCTTAACCCTGTTTGCCTCAGTTTCCATCTAGAAAATGAATTGGTAAACCACTCTAGTATCTCTGCCAAGAAAACCCCAAATCAGATCATGAAGAGTTGGACATGATTGCAAAATGACTGAACAACATTCAGTTTTTTAAAATAGAAAAACAGTAGATAAAGCCAAAATAGGTGCAAAAGAAATTTTTTAAATGAGAGGAAACCATTAAATTGTAATTAAACAACACACAGCATGAATGTTTTTCTTCATGCAGATCACTGTTCTAGTGCAAACATTTCTTACAGTTTCTCTGGAGTATGTTTTGCATCTGTTTTCTTAGAGATAATATGCTGAAGTCTATCCATTCACCTCATGTATTATTTAAGAGGCAGAATTCCTATGGTTTCCTTTATCATTAATTTTGCATTTTGTATTTTGCTTGTGACCACTGTAGTGCTGCGTATGATGCTGTCCTTGACAGAAATGTGGCCATTAAGAAGCTCAGCAGACCATTTCAGAACCAAACACATGCCAAACGAGCCTATAGAGAGCTGGTCCTCATGAAGTGTGTGAATCATAAAAACGTGAGTTTTCTTTTGCTGTTGGAGCTGGAAAGTTGGTTTATTAAGAAAAAGAAAAAAATTAGAGAGAGAAAAAGATGGGAAACAACTTTACTCTATGGTTCCCATAATTTAAGATTAGTTTTCCTATTTTTATGTTGTAGTTAATTTCACTACCCTTATGATGGCTTTTTGTATTAAAATTCTCTAAAAACTATATGGTATTGAATGATTAATCTCATAGATATTCCCTTAGAATGAAATTAATCTTCCTTGATTACTTTGTTATATATGACCAGTATAGCCTCATAAACTTAAAGGCCATAGAGTATTCTTTATAATACCAATTTCATTATCAATAGAATCTGACGGATTTCTTCATCAGTTCTAGCACCATCTGCTGGCTACCTACTTTTTAATGTACACCTGCTTTAGAATGTTATCTATAATGCAATAATATGCTACATAGTGCTGTGGTGAATGGGGCCATTAAGAATAGGATGAGGTATAACTTTTTTTTGATCATGGACTAAGTTGCTACCATCTTATGCACAGTTTTCTCCCATTCTTTGTGGTCCAGATTGCTGCTACAGTAGCACATTTTGAGTATGTTTTATCTCTCTAATAATAAGGATAACTGAGAATCATTCATTAGTCTATATAGCTTTTGTAATACTTGACACAACTTTTCATCTGTATGCAATTCTCAGTGATGGTTGGTGTAAAAAATGGTATTTTCTTTAATATGAGAATTCTGAATTTTGGTGGTAACATTCCTAGAATTTTGCGGGGAGGAGTCTTTTTATGAACTGATTATTCTACCCTCATGTTCTAAATGATCTGGGAAGTTTTCATTTATGATTTCTTGAAATATGGTGATCAACTTTTTTTAATCCTGCTTTTTCATTGATTATTGATTGATTGCTTTGAAGTTCATTCATTCTTATATCATTCCTCCTTAACTTGTTTTCCAAGTCATTCATTTTTTATATCAACTATCTTGCATTTTCTTCTATTTTTCAATCTTTTGATTTTTTTCTAATCTTTTTTTTCATGGGAGGAGTGAAGCTTTCTTTCATGGAGTAATTGATTTCTGTTTGGCCTATTTTCATTTTCATGGAAATTCTTGGTTAAGGTTTACTACTTTCCCTTCCAAACTCTTTATTCTCCTTCCAATTCTATAATCAAGAGCTTTTGTTTTATTTTTTAAAATTTCTTGTTTCATTTTTCCTAGATGTTCATTGAGTCGTTGTGAAAATCAATTTTTTTCCTTTCAGTTTTTGCTTATAGTTTTTACAGAGCTACTTCTTTTGGAGGAATCTCTAGATTTGCAAAAAAAAAAATGAGACTGGCTGGTATTTCATTTATTCATGTCAGAATTTGAATTACTCATTTGGGGTTTCATGCCAGGGCCAGGCTCCCAGAGGCACTTTTGGGTGGAGTGGTTAGTCCTCCTTCAGTTTGCCTTGGCTCTCCAGTTCAAGGTATCATGTCCACTTCCTGGGATTAAGTCCCCCTTGATCTTTGAAATTCAGAGTGCTGGATCTTCAAGGCATTCTCTGGTCTTTCAGGACAGAGCATCAGGGCTCTTAGAGCCCCTGTTTTGAGAGTGGTAGCACAGTACTAGTCATTACCTGCTGCTACACCCTAAGGTGTGGTTTTTCAAGAATCATGGGGCTTTCTTGTAGGGTCCTTTAAATCTTTCTGCCTCCAGACACAAAGCCTTGCGGGATATATATTTCCTTGGCCTATAGATCTGTAAACATTGGGAGGCTACCCTGGAATGGCATTACCTTTGTTGGTAGCCTCTTCTCAGGATTTTGGATTGCCTCTTGTGCTGTCCTGGAGTGGAAGATTCTCATTGAATTTCTTGATTTTTATTTGGTCTGGTGTGAACTTCAGGCCTTTACTGGAATATGCATGTGGGAGCGGGTAATCTACCTCTTATTCAAGGAGCCATTTGATAGCAAATTCCCCCCAAATTGTATGAAAATGCTAGGTTCTTATTATTTTATTTTAGGTGCTGGTTTTTTCCTGAAGTATATCTAGCATCTCTTCTTGGCTGCTCCTCCAACTTGTGCTAGCCAGTTGATATCCCTAATGGTAGCTATCTCTTATTCTCAAGGTTTTAGGGGTAACATTGAGGCTTGTTTTCTAGCACTATAGCTCCTGAGTCCCCACTGGTATGCTCCTCATTAATAATATATCAGCCAGATTGAATTTCAGAAATTTTTAGAAAAAGAAAGATTTTAGAAAAGATATTCACTGAGAAGGTATAGAAAGAACACTTGGTACGAAACATTTCTCCAAAAAGCCTAGGGCATACTATCCTACAAGAACACACAGAAGTACAAGAAGAGTGGGTTCAAAGTGCATGGGAAAGAGTCACACATGCAAGTGTGGGTAGAGGAGGTAATTCATAACTCTTGGTGCTCTAAGCCTGAGTCTGTATCTGGCGTTGTCTGGTGCATAGGGTCACGGTCCTTAAACAACTTTTCCATATATTGCCTTTATCAACGTGTTATATTCTAGGGAAAAAATCACTTAAAACTAAGTTAATAAAAGAACTAAATAACACAAAAATTAAGAAACAGGAAAGGACAATTGACCCCCAATTTTTTCCCTTGACACATTTTGATAAATTTCCCATTTTTAATTAACCATTGATATCATCCAAGAAGAGAAGCGATTAATAGACACGTGTGTCTATACCACACACTCCACATGAGCTTTAGTGTAAGCTGTGTAGCATGAAGAAGAGAAGCAGATTATTTCCCATCTAACCCTTTTAACTAGAGCACTCTGTGGCTCTTTTGAAGGAAAAACCTACTACCTTCATAAGTCCATGGAGAACTTATTTTTGTTCTTCTAGGACTTGGAATTTGTGGTGATCGTATAGAGAAATTTTGAGTTTTCTTTCCATGAAATCAGTTTTTCTACTTCTTTTCAAATGTACATTCTGCTTTTTGGTAATAGTGTGGAGTGCATATTTTAAAAAAAAGTTTAGAACAAAGATTCTTGTTGAATAGATTTCAAATGTGAGTGTCTTGCCTCTTTCTTTTCAGATTATCAGTTTATTAAATGTCTTCACACCACAGAAATCACTGGAAGAGTTCCAAGATGTGTAAGTAAAAGACAGTAATTAAGTTCGAGACATGATAGGAAATATAGAACTTAATGAAAAGGGAAAGACAATTATTCTTAATCAGTTAGCAGGTGCTATTCTTTCTGGACTATATTTTGAAGATGGAAAAGAGGTTAAGGGGTTGGGTTTGAATGAAACAAATACAATATGATCATCATATGGTTCTGCTTTTCTGTGTGTGTTTGGAGAACACTCATGACAATAATGTTCTGTTGTTTAGGACACAGAACACCAAATAAGCATCTGGAAACCGGAATTCTAGACCCAATTTTCACCTGTTAAGAAAACAAAAAAAAGATGATTGCTATATTTTCTCCCAGCTCTAAGACCCATGACATTCAACTTTTGGTCTTAGCTAAGTCACTTGATCTAGCTGAGTCTCAGTTTCTTTATCTATAAAATGGGGGAAATAATGACTGACCTATCTATCTGAAAGAATTATTGTATAGTCAAATAAGATAGTAGCTAAGCATATTTTTGAAAGCTGTAAAGTCCTATATAAAAGTAAGGTTTGATTATTAACTGGAAATTACTTTATAAAATTAATATGTGAAGCAGGCTCTATGAAATGTGCCTATTCATTTTAAGAGAAATATCTCAAAGAGACTTTTCTCTATTTTCCTACCTCATAGTAGCCTTTGATTTTGCTATTCTACTTAGATATTTAGGAAGAATGAGGAAAAGAAAGCAAATATCTCTCCAACAAAATATATTGCACAGGGGGCACTCTCTAACTGACATGTGGATCCCTTGGGCAAGCTCCCCCAGATTCAAGGTTCTCTGAGGTTTGGTATCCCCTTGTAAACCTCGTGAGAACCCATCAACATGTTTACTGTTATAAATCAGCCAGAAGATAAAATTAATTTAAAATAAAGGCACTTAATGAAACAATACAGGAAACAAAATGTTTCCTGCATAAACCTGGGGGACACTCTCCCCAAATAGATACATTAACAGTGAAAGAGTTGAGACACCTAGGGAACATGCATGAAAAGGCACACATGAAGGAAACTTATGTGGCCACAGTGAATTCGTGGAGAGGCACAAAAATTGGGAGCATGTTTCACCAAGGGCACATGCTTGAAGGGGCAGCTAATGCTTCTGATACTATAAGGTCATAGATGTTTTCTGATGATGTTGGGTCCACTCCCATTGTGTTTGGTATGTTGTCGAATCTCTACTCAGGCACTTGGTCAATAAATATTTATTAAGCACCTACTGTGTGTGGGTACTCTGCTAAAAGGCACAAGACAGTTCCTGCTCTCAAGATGCTCACAGTCTAATGGGGGAGACAATCATGAACAAATTATATACATGACAAATTGGAGATAATCGACAGAGGGAGAGAACCACAATAAAAACAGACCAGAAAATACCCACTTGTAGAAGATGAGATTCTAGCAGAGACTTGAAGGAAGCCTAGGAAGGCAGGAAGCAAAGATAAGGAAATGGTGGCAGAAGGCATTAATGTGAGATGAGGGGAAACAAGTTCTTGGTGAATGGTCTCAATTTTTTTCAGTGAAATATGAGGCAAGATTCTTAGCTGAGAAGGTAGGGGGAGGGGGAGGGGAGCTGTGGGAGGCTCGAGGAGGAATGAAAATGTTTGGAAGAGCTGCTGTCTTTAGTGGGACAGTGAGTCAAATAGGAAGCTGTGAAAATGTGGGGGAGATGTGTCATTTCTGCCGATTCATGTACTCCTAAGGATGGCTCCACTGGAACTGATGTATACCTTCTCTGTTTCTAGCTTCTAACTTCATTTGGAATCCCCAAATGAGCCACTACCTTTGCTTTGTATTCCTATTTCAGAAATCTCCACTATAATTTCCTTTTAGAAATTATTATGGTACTCTAAATATAAACTTCATTCATAAAAGTTTAATGGTCACAAGAACTAAAAAGAGCTTTTCAAATAGTTTTGTAATATTTCTGAGTATCCTCTGCCTTCTCTTTCTTAGCTTAAAGCTCAGAACTTTAAACTTCAGTAAAAAAAAAAAGCAAAGAGGACGGAATGAAAATGAGGCAGAGCTAACCTTGTGCGGGTGCCAACTGGCAGCTCTGTTATTCACTATTCAATTCTGGCTCACAGAGCCCAACCTTAACGTAAGGTCCAAAATCAAGAAGTAGGAGCAAACAAAAAAAAGGATGCCATCATAAAAAGCCATTGTGATGATAAGGACACAAACCCCAGAGGAGAGAATGACTCCCTCTTCCAAGCAAAGACTCACAGAAAAACACAACTTGAATAGAAAACCAACCAGAATTCCTATGAGAGATGAGGCAAGGTTTTCTAAGTGCTAAAAATACTTTTAAATACCAAATAAGAGGGCTGGCAGGGAAAAAAGGGGAAAAGAAGTGAGAACTGTGGAAGAAGGATTTGGAAAGAGAATTAACAACTTGGCACGAGAAGGACAAAACCCTACCCAAGGGAAAAAATTCCCCCCAAACTAAAATGGATCAAATAGAAGCTAATGATTTCATGAGACAAAAAGAAAAAGAAATATTAATGCAAAGTGAAAAGACTAAAAAAATGTAAAAGGAAATAAAAAGCAGCAAAACTCAGAGCAAAAACAATTGACTTGGAAAACAGAACAAAGAAAAAATTTAAGAATTATTGGTCTAGACATCTTCTTTTAACAAATCATAAATGAAAACTGCTTAGACTTCTTAGAACCAGTAAGCAAAGTAAAATTAGAGAGAATCCATTGGTCATTTCCTGAAAGAAACACCGAAATGAAAACTCACAGGAATATTATAGCCTGAATCTAGGATTTAAAAGTGAAAGAAAACACAGCAATCAGCCAGGAACTGCCAAGGAGGCAGGATTACACAAGATTTAGCAGGAACCTCTAAAAAGCAGCAGAGAGCTTGGAATATGATATTCCAGAATGAAAAGGATATAGAAGATGAATCTTTAGGAAAACAAAATAAAATTTAATTAAAAAGAAAGAAAGAAAAGCAGGAACCTCACATTCTCAGTCTTTGGACTAGAGAAAAAAAAATCTTTGACTGCTTTCTTTGTGATAGGAGAATTTGCCTGTCCTCAGAGCTTTATAAGCTCCAAAAGGGAGAATCCTTACCTTCAAGAGTCAAGATTTGATAAGAGGTAAAGGAATAAAAATCTTACCTCAGTGCAGTTGATTGTAGACATCAGTCCTACTTCAGTTGTTTGAGCCATGCCCTCAATATGTTGCATAGACTTTCCTACAAGGAGCCATTTTAACTTTTCTTCCTGTTTGTAATCCAAAGAAGTAGATACTACTGAAAGAAACAGGTAACAAGGAGATGAATTCAGCTTTAGCTAAAACAATGCTCCTCTTGACAAACCTAGGTTTGTGGTACTGGTAGTTACTACAATTTCATTCTTAAAGATGTTTCGTGATGTTCTTCATTTGCCGATTAGCAGAAATGGAAAGTTCAAATAAGCAGTGATTTCAGAGAAGATTCTAGCATGATTAATATGATTGTGTTAGCATTTCAGTCATGTTTTTAAAATTGATTTATGTATCTCATAATCTGGTTATAACATTGAGGATTTACTCTTTAGCTACCTTGTGATGGAATTGATGGATGCAAACTTGTGTCAGGTAATTCAAATGGAATTGGATCACGAGCGCATGTCTTACCTCCTGTACCAAATGTTATGTGGCATCAAGCACCTTCACTCTGCCGGGATCATCCACAGGGTAATTATTAAAGATGAATAAATTACCTCTGAATTACAAAGAAGGGATATAATGTTTGGAAAGGGAACAAATAATAATTATGGATTTTTTTTAGCACCAGTAAAGCTGTGATTAAGCAGCACACACCCTTTTCCATGACTAGTGATTATAGCAGAGATCATATTTTCTGTTATTCATCATCTGTTTGAGAATCAATTTCTGCAGGCAGCATCTGAAGCAGTCTCTTCCTTCCCAGTTATTTGATTGACAGAGGTTATAGGTGCTACTGAAATGAGATAGATTTTTCACAGAATGAAGTGAACTGCCCTCATTTGCCCTTTTCTCAACACTTGATGAGAAATAGAAGCTGTCAGGTATAGCCATGTGGCTACATAGAGAAACTGAAAGAATGATAATCAATTGGATAGGATACAAGCCCTTTTTTTTCCCAGAAGGAGCTCTAATTTTTTTTTTAAATAATACAGAGATAACAGTGAATTTCTCTTCTGGATGTAAAGATGCTCCTGAAGGCATTTTTTAAAAAAGAATAAACTCAAAAATTAGTTGTAAAAAGAATCATTAAAATAGTATGACAGAAACTAGGTATAGGTCAACATCTCAAAATGGGTACATGATTTAGACATAAAGGGTGATACCATAAACAAATGAGGAGAGCAAAGAATAGTTTACCTGTCAGATCTATGGAGAAGGGAAGAATTTATGACCAAACAAGAGATAGAAAACATTACGAGATATAAAATAGATAATATTGATTATATTAAATTAAAAACGTTTTGCAGAAACAAAAAAAAATATATTTTGTTTCCTTTTCAGTATTCTATAGCATCTTAAACCCAATGCTAGAGGTACTAGATACTCAATAAGTGTGACTGACCAACTTATTATGCAAATTTGGTAGAAAGAAATAATATTTTCAGTATTGTTGGCCTTTTCTGCTTTGTTCCTTTTGGCAGGATTTAAAGCCCAGTAACATTGTGGTGAAGTCTGACTGCACATTGAAAATTCTGGACTTTGGACTGGCCAGGACTGCAGGCACCAGTTTCATGATGACTCCGTATGTGGTGACACGTTATTACAGAGCACCAGAAGTCATCCTGGGAATGGGCTACAAAGAGAATGGTAGGGACGGCCTCCATGGCTAACCCAAAACATAGCAAGGAAAAGAGCTCACCTTGTAAGGAATGAAAAGGAAGAGGCCTCTTTTATTGACATTCACAATTTTTTAAAAAAAGGCTATTTGGCTTGCTGTTCAAAATTTCTGCTTAGACTCATTAATTTTTAAAATCAAAAGGAAACCGCAGAGATGCAGCCTTTTATAGAGTGTCTACAAGATATCAGATAAGAAGGAAATTCTAGAAAGGGAATCTGACTAAGTAATTATAAAAGTAGTCTCTAATTATCATGCACATACCATAGACAGTAAGTAAAGACAGATTGCTTTTAGGTTGTCATAAGAACAAAATACTGCAGTCCTTCAGTTCAGAATCTGAAAGAAGGAAGAGAAAAACTATGCATTTTCTTTTCCCCATTTCACAGATAGATGATTCAATAAGGAATTAAAAACAGATTTCCAAAATCCTTGGCAGGAATGTTATCTTCCTTTTCCCATAATAAATCAATAGAATAAATTGTTCAGGATATGAAGTCATTTCTAATTATTAAATGCTCCTGTCAGTGAAATTAAAGACTTCAGTTGCTTAGAAAAATACAATAATTTTTTTCAACTGGGAAGTCTGTTATACTATTTATTTCCTTCAAGAAAATCTCTTTATTTAAATAAAATGTCATATTTATGAAAATTATCAGGCATAAGTATATCTCCAAAATGTATTCCAGATTGGATCCATGAAATAAAGTTATGTTAACTGAGAAATGCAATTAATTAATTAAATATAACTTCAATTAGGTAGTATTCTACCATGTCACTTTGACCAGATAACTTTGGAAATAAGGCAGTATATTGAAATAAGCTCATAACTAAAAGGCTGCTGCAGTACTTATTTCTATGTAATTCTCATTTTAAAAGACAGGTTTGTTTTGTTTTTTAGAGGCAGCTAGGTAGTGCAGTGGATAGAGCAGTGAGCCTGGAGTCAGGAAGAACTGAGTTAAAATCTGAACTCAGATACTTGCTAACTGTGTGACCTAGTGCAAATCACTTAATCGCTGTCTGCCTCAGTTTGTTCACCTGTAAAATGAGGATGATAGCATCTACCTCCCAGGGTTGTGAGGATAGAATGAGATCATTTTTATAAAGTGCTTAGCACAGTGCCTGGCACGCAGTAGGCACTTAATAAATGCTTATTTCTTTCCTTCCTTCCTTTTAAAAAAATGTAATTGTTAAGAAAAGAGCAGCTGCCTTCTTTGTTAATGAAATGAATACCCATGAAGTTTTCATTTCACTCAGATTATTATTGTCTGTCATTAAATGACTTCTTATTTAGTTCTGAAGATGAACATTAATTGTTGTACCTGTTAGAGAAACACATTCTGGATGGTATTTTGGTGCCTTTGCGTAGGAGAGAAGAAATTGTCCAGCTGTTTGGAAAATCTTGACAATAACAGTTACTGAGGGCAGCAAGATCTGAGTTCTGAGACATTTTTACTAAGAATAGTGGCGTTCTAATCCTTTCTTCAAGTAATAAGTAGAGGCAAGTGTGTATTATTGAAAAAAAAGAAGCCAGAGGTGACAATGAGGTAAGTTGAGGGAATCTTCTCAAACTCAACAAAATACAATTTCTAGATTAAAGGGAAACTAAGTTTAAAAAGAAAGACGAGAATGGAAAGTGTAATTGAGGGCCTAAATTCACCTCTTCCATTTCTTTTCTTCAGAGTCATGCAGTAACATTGACGTGAGGTCTTCCCACTCTTCTCTTTCCCTTGTTAGCGCTTTGATGAGTGACTTAGAAATTTATATTTCATTTTGTAGCTGACTGTATCAGATCTACTAAGCGCAAGCATCTGGCCCTCTACTCTCCTTGGAAGCATGGATGCTTTCAGGCAGAAGGGAGCTATTTATTCCTCACATGCCACACACTTTCCAACCATCCTAAGCACTCACTACTTCCCCCTCTTTTCCTAAAAGAAATATTTTAGAAAAAAATCCCTGCTTTAAGTTTTTTACATAATAAAGGGGAATGAAAATGGGGGGGGGAAGTTATAGAACCTATAAAAACAGTTCAGTGACAGTTCTAATTGGCAAAATAAACTTTCCAGAAAATCAGGATAAGAAAAAGAGGCAAATTGATTTTGCCTCTGTGATAAAAATGCTCTGTTACTACGAATTTTGACTTAGATCTTTGTTTTTTGGAAGATGAAAAATGGAAGAACAGTGCCTAAATTTTGTCCCATAAATATTGCCAGCTCCTGTGAAGGAAGGGGTAAGGCCATGAGCAACCAGGGGTTGAAATTCTTCAGAGATCTTTAGGCTGGTTTTACAGTTGTTCAAAGCCCAAGTGTGATGAATTCCAATTGTGAGCACACACTCTTATTAGGCAGTTCTGAAAATGGCACCAATCCCCTGCTCAGGTTGATTCATATTCTCTTCATCACCCTTATGGATAAAGATAAAGAGTCATACTCGAGCTATAGTTATTTCAGAGTTATTTTATAGTTATTTTAAAAGCACAACAATCCTTTCTTCAGCTGGGTTCAGTAGTTTGTCAGCTGATTGCTTTGCTTTGAAAGATTACAGATATCTTTAATGTTAATACCCTTTCAATTGATTGATCTTAATGGTATTTAGCTTGTCTGGATTGGATTTTTTTTCCAGTTTTATTTTGTTTTACCTGGTACCAGCGTCAGAGAAGATCTCTCAGAAAAAACAAACAAACAAAAAAAAGACTTGTTCATCTAACTTCAATGAAATACTCTAAATGTGATTAAAGAATTATTTATTGATTTTATCTAAGTTCTTACAATTGCATATATTTAGCTACTGAATTCTTTCTGCTCTCTTTTGGTCCTTGCTGTATGGGAAGTTAAAAAATGGTATTTTCTAATCAACCTTCTGCCCCCACCCCTTTTAAGAATAAACTGTCTTAGTTAACTTTGCTTTTTTTCCCTCCCCTTCTTCATTTCCAAATCTCTGCTGTTCTAGTGGATATATGGTCTGTAGGATGCATTATGGGAGAAATGGTTCGCCACAAAATTCTCTTCCCAGGAAGGGATTGTATCCTTCTGCCTTTTGTTTCAGCTTTACCTGTTTTATCTTAAGCTTCTTAAATTTATTCTGTATATACCAGGACTGAAAAGGTAGGAGAAAAAAAGTTCACTTAGAATGGTAACTGTGACAGTAATAATAATGTATTCGAGAATTTGGCCAGTGCCTGGAGAAAAAAAATGAATGAAAATTAAATAATACCATGGTTATTTTAATAAGACCTTACTTTTTTCTCTTAAATACTTCATCTTATTTCCTAAACAATGTGACATATACTTATTGTGTTATACAAAAGAAGAAGATCTAGACCGAGAATGTTAAAAAAATTTGGTAAGGTTGTTATATCAGTTAAAAGAGAACCCCAACCCTTTTCCCCAATATGTTGGTTCCTTTCCTCGTATGACTTTTTCTTGCTTTTATCATTTTTAGGAATGTGAATTTGTGTTGATGTAATTGTCTACTCACTATTGTATCATGGAGTTATATTTATCTCAATGCAATGTGGGCTCCTTTGTGGGTCGATATAGCATTTTTTCCTAAAAAAAAAATTGACATACATTTTAAATGTTAACAGTTGGTTTTCCAATAGCTCGAGGTCTCTATGATTTAGATATAGAACGTTCCTTTCTCAAGAGCAGTGGCCACCAAAATTATTCTTTCCCCATCTGAAGTTAGCATTTTAAGCACCAGTATTGATAAGTCTTGCCAATATTACCTATACTGTATCCTACCTGACTTTGCTAGAGGAGATATCTTGGCTTTATATAAACTGGTAATTATTTTTAAAGCAAGGCAGAAGGAAAATGATTGACTTTCAGACCTTTCTAAAACTAAGGCACTGAATTCGCATGTGGGATGGATTCACAAACAGTGAAAAACATTGGCTCTGGGTTCAAATACTTCTTCCCATGCTGACCTGTATGACCTTGGGCAAGTCATCACTTACGCTGTCTGGGCCTCACTTTCCCCATTTGTAAAATGAGGGGGTTGGATTAGGTGGCCTTCAAGGTCTTTTCAAGCTGTCAATCTGTAATTCAAAGGTAAGAAGCTGGATTTTTCTAAAGTATAGACGCAGTTGGTAATTTGGCAGCTTATTAACCAGAACACTTTAATGACCAGCACTTCTACATATCTCTAGCAAAATAATAATTTATGTTCATAATGATGACTAAAATTCCACAGGATACCTAAGTATATTCTGAATTAAAATGATTCATTTTCATTTTTAAAATAAAAAGATTAAATTAGATTCAGTATAGTTTTAAGGTTAGTTATATTTTAGTACATTTCAGTTCTTTGATAACTGGGAATCCTTATATGGTATGTAATGTATTATCCTTTTAATGTTTGTTGCTGAGCTAAGTCTGACCAGAGAGAAAGGGTTTTCTCATAGAATTAGTTGGTGGGGGTTGGTCTGGTTGGGAGACAAGCAATTGATGATTTTGAATCTGATGAACTGAATATTATAAATTGGGGAGATATGGATAGCAAAACTATGGTATGGTTATGGGTCAAATATAACTATCTGATGAGAAAGAGAGAGAGAGAGAGAGAGAGAGAGAGAGAGAGAGAGAGAGAGAGAGAGAGACAGAGAGAGAGAGAGTGGGAGGGAGAAGAAGGACAGATTTCAGAACTTTATTAGCTAAGGTTGAAACTGGAAATAGTCAATGCTCCAGATGCTTTAGTAGTGTCAAGCTGAGCAGAGAAAAAAATGGAAGCAGAGAATAAGAGAAGTCACTCAGCAACCAATTCAGTTCAATATGCATTTATTAAGCCCCTGCTGTATGTACTGTGCCAAATACTGGGGATGCAAATAAGAAAAAGAAAGACACTCCCTGCCCTCAAGGTGTTTACAATCTAAAGTGTCTGAGGGCAGATTTGAATTTAGGAAGATCTTCCTGTCTCCAGTCATGCTGACTCTAGGCCCAGTACTCTATCCACTGAGCTGCCTAGTTGCCCTACAGTCTTCTAAACATCTGGTTAGAAGGAACCTTTTTCATTTTGCTGTGTAGTAGGAAGTAGGGGTATTTTTAAAAAAAATTGTCAGTTTCTGGAGGGGACTGAAGGTCTGCTGACCTAGCCCCTTCACAAAATGGAGGCTTTAGGAGTCAGGCTTACTGATGGGAACTTGAGTTCTAATGAAAGGAAATACCCCAAAACCCTTCAAGGTCACCTAGAACCCTAACAGGCAGATGCAGCTTGCTTGGCTCCAGGATAATGGGACAGAGAGGCAACATGACATAGTAGATAGAGAACTGATGTCTGATCCAGGAAGAGCTGGGTTCAAGTTCTATCTTTGACATATACAGTCTGTTTAATTCTGGGCAGGCTCTTCCCATCATGGTGTTCTGGGTAATGCTGTAAGACTGTGGTGCAGACTAATAGTACAGGGAGTTTCCTCTTCTGGAAATTCTCTATACCAATCTCTAGCCTCCCTACTAACAGTCTTAATTAGGAAGATTCAATTGTATTTAATTAACCAGAGGAATCCTATTCTGCAACTATTCTGGACAACAGATAACAACTTTAAATGTTTCAGGTCAATAACAGCATCATTATTTGTATCAGTAAAACAAATAGGAATCAGATTCCATCTCTTTGTAGACATTAGTCTGTTCTGTTAGCTCTCACATAGAAGAGGGGCTGTGATTTCATTGGCCTAGAGAACGCCAGGATCAGAAAATACCCTCTACTAGTTCAGGTTGGTGAATTAGCATAACAGATATTTTGTTCTAAGAATGAAGTAAACCTCAGGAGCATATTAACATCAATACTGTTCTTAAAACCAAGCCATAAAAAATTGGAACTTGAGAAAAACACAGACAACATTTTTCTGTATTCCCAAGTATATAAGTTTAAACTTTCATTTATGCCATGTTCCTTTATCCTTGGTCTAGTCTTGTGATTACACTGTTGTAGGAAACTCCTTATTCTAATTGCAGATCAGCAAACATTCTATAACTTATAGTTTTAGAGGAATTTGGGGCTAGAGGTGCTGAGAAATGACCTGTTGGAAAAACTAACAAACTGCTTTTATTTGCTTGTTATATTTGTTCTTTTCATTATTATTTGAAAATCTGAAGGAGATAGAATATCACAGGGAGATAGATCATGAAAATTTTGCAAAAGCTTTTCTAAGAAGAGACCTCACTTATTAGCTGTGTTACAGCTAATAACATCTCAGATTCAGTTTACTCATTTGTAAAGTAATAATAGTAATAATAATAACTGCCTTAACCTCTTGGGGTTGTTATAAGGAATAGATGAGATAATTCATGTGAAAGCACTTTGTAAGCTGTAAAACACTATATACCCATAATACAAAGGTAATTTGATTAGACTCTCAAGACAAGGAATCTCAGCTAACCTGCCAAATGACTTGGTGAACTCGAAGCCCTAAGACTTACTTAGGCTATAATATAAAATTAGGAATAGTCTTATCCAATGACTACAGGGCCAGCTCATCGATGGTTATGGAATCAGCATCTCTCATTTACTCCAGAAATCCTGAACTTTGATGATAAAAAGATGAGCATTCTGATAGATCATAAAGTGAAGAAAGTACATTTTGAAGTGAAGAAAGGGATTTTATACAAAGGAACAACAACCTCTCTATTTCTGTGGTATGAAATTCTATATATTTAGACGTTTTGACTTTCAGTTTTGTCTTCTCATATATAGTGGAGATTTTACCTTGTTTTAGAATGTTTTTGTTACAGTTTTATTTTAAAAAATTTAAATTATCATGACTTTCTTTGTTAAACAGACATTGAAACATAAGAAGTAGACTATAAAGAGAAAGGGATAATTTGGTAGTTGTGCTCAAGGAGAGAGCCATCTGTTTTCTCTAGCTTTGACAAACTTTATTTTCCATGGATATTATTTACTTCATATTTCTGTGTGTACAAAATGCACAGTCAGATGTTTTCTGTGTAGACATTATGTTTTAAAATTTCAGAGGCTCTGTTAAGCTTGTTTAACAAAATTGCACAATCAGATCATCTCATTAAATTTATAATTAGTTTTAGAATGTTAGTGTAAGGCTGTCTTGATCTTAGGGATGGCTGTGGGGCATGACATCAAATCACCCTGACCATCTTCTTTTTGGGGAACTTATTGAAAGAAAGGATAGAAACCAAACTGTCTGAAAACCCTGCTTGACGGAAATGTCATTATGTAACTGGAAGAAGAACACACTCTGGTTACATATTAGCAATGCCGAAGATCTACATAAATACCAAGGGAGCATAAGTGAACCAGCCTGTTAGAAAGACAGTCCACAAACTAGCTGTGTTTAGCTAGCTAGCTAGCCCACTGAGGGTTTCAATCAGTCAATCCTCAAGTATTTACTAAGGGCCAGGAGTGATGCTAAACAATCAAAGATAGGGAAAACCACCAATACCTCAAGGAACTCGCCTTCCAATTGTAGAGACAAGTAAAAAACTATGCATGTGCAAGAGATATAGAATGGGAGAAAGTTAATCTCAGTGGGGATAGAGGTGGGGAGGAGGGAAGGGCTCTTGAGGGAGGGAGATTGAGTTCATGACGTGGAAGTGGAATGTTGGGGGTGAGTGATCACAAGCCCTTCTCGGTGTATGGCTGAGGTTAATTAGAGGAGCAGGTCAGGGGAAGGAAGTAGAATGTGGAATTGGAAAGTTAAAGTTATTCAGATGGGACCAATCAATTAATTAACAGGTAATTACTGGCCATCTAGTAGGGGCTGGGCCACTGCCTTAGATACTTGGGCTGGGGTGGGGAATTTGCACCTCAGAGGCCCTTTTCAGTCAAAAGAGCCACACATGAGGGCCTAGAGGGCCAAACGTGGCCCCAAGGCCACAATTCCCCACCCCTGTACTTGGGGGTAAAAGTACAAAGAATGAAATAATCCCTAATGTAAGGAGCTTACATTCTATTAAAGAAGATAAGTACATATAAAAATATATAGTCAAGTCATATCAACAAGCGTTTATTAAATGTTTATACCCAGACACTGTGCCAGGGAAACAAAG